CCCAGGGCTGGGATAGGGGTGCGGGTCAGGATGGAGGGGTGCCGGCAGAGCTGGGGGGCAAGGGGACCTCAGGGCTGGGATAGGGGTGCGGGTCGGGACTGAGGGGTGCCAGCAGAGCTGGGGGAACCCCAGGCCTGGGATAGAGGCTGCGGGTTGGGATGGAGGGATGCTGACAGAGCTGGGGGGACCCCAGGGCTGGGATAGGGGTGCGGGTCAGGATGGAGGGGTGCCGGCAGAGCTGGGGGGCAGGGGGACCTCAGGGCTGGGATAGGGGTGCGGGTCGGGACTGAGGGGTGCCAGCAGAGCTGGGGGAACCCCAGGCCTGGGATAGAGGCTGCGGGTTGGGATGGAGGGATGCTGACAGAGCTGGGGGGACCCCAGGGCTGGGATAGGGGTGCGGGTCAGGACTGAGGGCGGGCTGGACTTGCAGGGCTCCCTGGGTAACAGTCTCGCTGCCCTGCGGGCGCTGCCCTGCCCGGCGATCCCTCACCGCGGGTCTCTCCCCAGGACCAGAACCGCTACCACGAGGACATCTTCGGCCTGACGTTCCGCACGCAGGAGGTGGCCTCGCTGATCCGCTCGCAGTCCTTCTCGGCGCAGGCACGGAGCCTGCTGGACCCTGCCCCCTGAGTGGCCCCTGGCTCCTCGGCCCATGGGGTGGGGGCAGGGCCCTTTGCCCCATTGCTGCTCCCTCCCCCCCCCCCGAGTCCCCAATAAAGCATTTAGTTTTGATAATTGTAGTTTGTCATTTCCCACGATGCGCCAGTGCCTGGGGGTGGCCCCGGGTCAGGGGTGGCCTCCCGCGCCCCCATGCTCTGGGGCCCAGCCCAGCTGTGAGGGCAGGGCCCCACATTCAGACTCTGCAGCCCAGCCTACGGGCCCGGCACCGGCCAGTGCCACCGGCTGCACCACGGCCCAGGAGAAGGAAGCCGGGCACAGGGGGGCCCAGGCTGCCGATGCTCCGGGGGGAGAAGGCAGCTGCTTCCCCAGGGCCCTCGCCGGGGACACCGGGCAGGGTGCAGAGCTGGGGGCCACGGAGCCTCAGCCACAGGCAGCAGCGCCCAGTCGGTCTCCAGCCCAGGGAGCGGGGCCATTGCTTGGATGGGCGGGACTCTGGTTGGCGGC